CCACCGCCTTCCCACTTCACTTGGCCCCCAGTTGGCAGCGGCGCCGCCCTCCTTCGGCCGCGCCTGATGGCTCACGGCGTCGACCAGCGCGCGTGCCACCTCTGAGTGTCCAGCGCCCTCCTCAGCCTCCTGCGGTTTTTCGAGGACGCCATCAGCAGCGCCTCGGGGCCACCACCTTCCCTCTTCTGCTGGCCCCCCGCCGGCCTCGGCGCCGCCCTCCTGCGGCCTCGCCCGCTGGCCCTCGGCGTCGACCAGCCTGCGCGCCACCTCTGCGTGGCCGGCGCTCTTCTCAGCCTCCTGTGTTTTTTTCGAGGACGCCCTCGGCAGCGCCTCGGGGCCACCACCTTCCCTCTGCACGCTCCTCCATGCGCGCCCCCTCTGCCTCATGTGGTTTTCCGTGGATGCCACTGGCAGCGCCTCGGGGCCGCCGCCTTCCCCTCGCACTCGGGCGAGCCCCAACCTCGGCGCCCTCCTCTAGCGCCCTCAGCTCGCCAGCAGCTGCTGCCAGGCCTGCGCCTAGCTGCTCCCTCACACGCTTCCTCGCCCGCAACCAGCTGCTGCGGTGACCCCTCGCGCAGCGTCCGTGCGGCCTTACCTCAGGCAAAGCCCGAGGCCTCTGCGCCACCCTCATGGCGCCCTCCAACTTCTGCTTGGCGACCTCGACGATGACTGGCGCGCGCGGGCACGCAGGCGAACCAACCACCACCTGGGCGCCCTGCGCGAGCAGCCCGCGCGACACTAGGAAGTAGTCGATGATCCGCCCTGACGCCATACAGGTAGGCCCCGCTGGTCTGACCACGGACGCGTCGAACAGCGCCAGCACCCCGCCTGCCTGCAGCTCCTCCCCACTGAGATTCCAATCCCCACCGACCACGTACTCTCTGCGGCACTGCCTGAGCCTCCTCGCCAGCAACTTGACCCAGTGCACGTGAACTCTGCCGTCCACCACCACCGCCGCCTGGTGATCCTGGACTTCCGCCATCCCGCGGCAACGTCGCACCATGGTGATGAGCCCCCCCTGTGCTAAGCCCCCCTGGCTCAGACCGCACCGCTGGCGAACTCCTTGCCCGCCATCCTTGACTACGGAGCTGAGCCTCGGCATCTCTGCTCCGTCCCTCCAGCAGCCTGGTCTCCTGCACCAGGATGGCGTCACAGTCCTGCACCTCCTGCACCATCGAGCACTTGCCCAGGCTGCTGAACGCGTTGACGTTGACCGTGCAGATCCTCCAGACGCCTATCTCCTTGCTAGGACTCTGCGTCCATATCCTCCTCTCCCGTGCGCATCTTCTTGGCCTCGTTGATGAGGGCATCAGCCGCCTTCCTCTTGTCGGGGTCCACGAACTGCTCCTCCAGCTCCTTCCAAGCCTGCTGCACCTCAGGGGATGGCTGCTGCGGCCGAGGTTCCGCCCCAGCAGACGACCTTGCCACTGCGCCTGCCCTCGTGGCTGCAGCAGCGCCAGCCCCCGCAGGAGGCGGTTGCACAGGATCTGGCTCTCCAGATCCCACCCCTGCCACCTTGCTCTTCCACTCGAACAGCTTCTCGACCGCCTCGGACAGCTTGACGAACTCACCGCAGAGCACTGGGTTCGCCGCCACCCCGCTGGACTTGGCCCAGCCTGCGAGCGCCGCCTTGACCTCTTGCAGGGAGGCAGGGGCGGCGGGCGCTGCAGTCGCCACCTCAGCTGCCACGGCGGTCTCCGCCATCCTGGCACTCTGAGCCGCCAGCGCCTCGCGCGCTCTGGCGGCTGCCTCAGCCAGCTCCTGCCGCAGCTGCCCCAGCTTATCCGTGAGGTCCGCCGTCTCGTTGATGGCCGCCCTCGCCTTCGCCCTGGCCAGCTCCAGCATGTGCTCGGTCCGCTTGACTCTCTGCGCCTTCTCGTCGGCCAGCAGCTGGGCGGCTTTGACGGCCTTATCCTTGGACAGGTCGTCACCCAGCCCCTCGCGCACCAGCCGCCTGGCCTGCTGGAGCTCGTTCCTGATCCTCGCGCTGAACAGCTTGGTTGCGATGGCGAACTGCACATCTGACATGCTTACGAGCTCGCGACGCTCATCGTCACTGAGCACCACTCCCGCAGCACGCTGACCTCCTTTTCCGCTCTCATCGCCACGCCACCACGGCGCACGGGTCGCAGGCGCGCCAGCACCGGCACGCCCACCACGCCCGCCACCGCCAGCCCCAGCAGGAGCACCGCCACGACCTGGAGCCCCCTGCGGCAGGAAGCTGCCCAGGACCCTCTCCAACGGCTTGCCGCCCCCCTGGCATCCGTAGCGACAGCACATGCTCTCGGCGAAGTTGTAGTAGCTACACGCCTGGCGCACCCATCCCACGGGCCCGCCTGAGCGACCTCCTCCACGCCCTTGTCCCGCGTCGTGCCCCATCGCGCGCGAGAAACTGGAGGAGAGGCGCCCGACTGCCAGAGCGCAAAGACTCTTGCCTGCCGCGGACTAGCGGTATCCGTGCGATCCCCTCGGGAATCTGGCATCTTGAGCCAAAATGGCT